TTCCCATTCGACAAGAACGTCCGCTTTCTACCCATGTTCGTGGGCACGTTCACCTCTGTGACATACTCATTATTTAAATCTGGCAACGTTTGTTTTCCTACTTACTGTTGGTGAACACTGGGTTGCTCCCGGGGTTTTGCTACGATGAGCAGATGTGCTGTGAAGATCCTTGCACGTGGCTCTCGGTGCGTACGCGCAGGACCCTCTCAGGGGGCATTCCTAGGAATGGAACCACAGTGTTGTAGGGCATGGTTCAGCTTTACAGGAGAGCCTGCTTGTTTCCCAGTGTGCCTGCATCAGCTTTCAGCGCGGCCAGTGAGTACCACAACTCCGCGTCCTTGCCAAAACTTGGTCAGGTCCGTTTTCTCTTTCTCAACCTAGCGGAGTCTCACAGCCGTCACTGTGCTCAGAGTCCCTGGTTACGAGACTGTACACCCTTTGTGTGTGGTCATCACTCTGTTTCCTGTGAAATACTTCTTCGTGCCTTCTGCCTGTTTTGAGGTTGTCTTTTGCTTATTGATTTAAAGGAGTTTTTATATAAGGTCAAACCATATTAAACTGCCACTATTCAACCTCTAAATATGGCAGTTCATGTGACTAACCCTAAAATATTTTGGATGACAATTATTTGCCCAAGTATGTGAGTTCAAAATGTTTTTTCAATTCATGAGAAAATTGTACTTTCCTTTTCTTTATGGTGAATTTGATGAAAGAAATTCATTTTAATCTAGTTGAATTTATCAGAAATTTTTCTTTAATTCTTTTTTTTTTAATTTTTTTTTCAACGTTTATTTATTTTTGGGACAGAGAGAGACAGAGCATGAACGGGGGAGGGGCAGAGAGAGAGGGAGACACAGAATCGGAAACAGGCTCCAGGCTCTGAGCCATCAGCCCAGAGCCTGACACGGGGTTCGAACTGCCAGACCGCGAGATCGTGACCTGGCTGAAGTCGGACGCTTAACCGACTACGCCACCCAGGTGCCCCAGAAATTCTTCTTTAAAAGTAACCTTTTTGGTGTCTTGTTTGAGAAATCTTTTCTTGACCTGAGGGTATACAAATATTATCCAAAATTTACTCATAAAAGGATAAAAATTGGCCTTTCATAAGGCAAATTCTTGGCTAAGAATTACATTGCAATATAAATTATAGAATCAGTTTGCCATTTTCCACAAAAATGCACTCTTGGCATTTTTATTTAGGTTGCAGTGAATGTATTGATCAATTTTGGGAACTGACATTTTAATAACACCGAGTCTTCCAATGCATGAACAAGTATAGTCTTGGCCAAGAACAGTCAAATCAGTCTTGAAGAAAAAGAAATAGGACTTCATCTACCAGATGAAAAGATATTATAAAGCTGTGGTAATTAACCAGTTTGGCATTGGTGTAAGGATAGGCAGTCGACCAATGGAACAGAAGGGGAGGCTAAGACTTCCAGACCCTAACCCTCCCAAACCCGTCTTCAGCGTGACTGTGTCTTCCTAGAATTCTGCTAGGGTCCTGCCACCTGCTTGAAAGATCCTTTGCTGACTCTCAGTCCCGCAGTGAGAAACCCCGCTTCCCGGCTTGAACTCCAGGAATCTTTTGAGGTTTCTTGAACATTTAAAAATAAACTTCGTGAGAAAGCACTAAAGAAATTTCAGGTATTTTGTCTGGTGGAAAAAGAAGTGTTTGATTTGTCTTGAAAATTTTGAAAGAGTATCTTGTGAGAAGTGGGTTAATATTGCTCTGTAATGATCCCAGGGCATCGAACTGCACCCACACGTAGAAGCTACAGAAAGAGGGGGTGCCTGGGAGTACGCTCAGTTGACTGAACATCTGACTCTTGATTTTCACTCAGGTCGTGATCCCAGGGTTGTGGGAATGAGCCCCATGTCAATGTGGAACCTGTTTAAGATTCTCACTCTCTCTAAAAAAAAAAAAAAAAAAAAAAAAAAAAAAAAAAAAAAAAAAGAAGCTACAGAAAGACATTTCTGTACATGGGTGATTTTAAATCTGAAACCTGTATCTTACTCCTTTTGAAAAATGAGTGAAGTGGGCATTCTCTACTTCCTTTGTGAAGGTCAAGTGAAACAATCTCGTTATATCAATGTTTAGTGTGAAATTTTTCTCAGATTTTGCATTTAGAATGTAATTAGGTTAAAAAACTATTACCTGGTGAGTTTTTAAGTAAATTATAACTAAATCAATAACTCTAGTTTTGGTAACTCCTCAGAATTAGTTACAAGAATCTTAGGGTTTTAACACTAACATGTTTTGTTATTCAACTATGCTGCTCACCTTTGAATTCCTTCCACGTCATTCAGGCCGAACCTACTACCTTATGGCAGACCTCTTTTAAATGTACAGACTTTTCCCAAAGGTAAAATATCTGAACTTTCTTCAGTGTTTCTTCACTATATTCATTTTAACGCTCAGGAAACACCAGGAGATTCCTGGAGTTTAAGCCAGTAATGCGAGCTTCTCACTGCAGGACTGAGAGTCTTTCCAGCAGGTGTCAGGATCGTAGCGGAATTCTAGGAAAACATAGTCATGTTGAAGATGGATGGGTGAGGGTGAGTCTAGAAGGCTTCTATTTGGGCTCATCAATACAGAGTCCTCTGAATTCTCACAACAGATTGTCAGGCTGGCCATGCCCTGTGGTTAACTGGTGTCTGAAATGTAGCTCTCCAGTCAACAACACAAAACGTCCACGCTCGAGGACGGTCCAGAACTTAAACGGGATTTGTCCTGTTGCCAGATGCTGTTAAAACTCATTGGAGAAGGGAGATGAAGGATTGCCCTGTCAGGTTCTCAAGTTGGGCTGAGGACTTTGAGCCCCAAATCCCAATATACACCGTAGCGTGTGGGTGCAGAAATAAATGTTATGAACATGTATATGCATTTTCCAAGAGCAGGTACCTGCTGTGAAAAACAAAACCTCAGATTTTCCAGGAAAGCATGATATTTTGCCATCGAGCATTAAAGTACAACATGTGTGCACATGTGGGGGAGAGTGCTGCTGGTATTTGTTGACCATCAAACAAACGGTCCTCAGACTCAAAAAAATTATTGGAAAACCACTGCCAGTGCTCCAGACATACCGTGAATTCTGTCCTTAGGTCATGTTTTCTCACCCAGAAGCCACGTATCCAGAATTTTCTCCTCCATAGAGACAATGTCATTGAGTTATGTCTTTAATGTTTTCATCTTGGCTTTCACTAATAAACTATGTAAGAAATGGCCACATAAATAAAAAGAATTTTTTTGTAGAAACTGAGCCCAAGGAACAATGTTTCAATCCATGCTTTTTAAAGATAAACCATATTGTTACTAGAAAATTGCGGGGCGCCTGGATGGCGCAGTCGGTTAAGCGTCCGACTTC